TGTGGAGGAAGAGGAGAAAAGGAGGAGGAAGAGGAAGAGGGATGCCTCCCCCGAGTGTTCCCTTTTTATCCGATGTGGCCCAATGCTTGCGCGGCGTCGCAGTTCCGTTTGGCGAGCCATGTAGTCTGAACAGGAGGAGAAGAAGGAGCAGGAGAAGGAGGAGTGAGAGGAGGGGGAGGAGGAGGAGGAGAGGAGGAGGAGGAGGAGGCGGAGGAGGAGGACGAGGACGAGGAGGAGGAGGAGGAGGATGCGGAGGCGGAGGAGGAGGAGGAAGAGGAGGATGAGGGAAGGAGGATGGAGAAGGAGGGGGAGGAGGATGAGGAGGAAGGAGGGAAACATGATGAAGATGATGGTGAATGGGGTGTTGGTGATGATGATGATGATGATGATGATGATGATGATGCTGATGATGATGATGATGATGTGGATGGTGATGTTGCTGATGATGATGATGAGGAGGAGGAGGAGGAGGAGGAGGAGGAGAGCGGATGAGGAGGAGGAAAAGGAAGAGGGAGGAGGGAAAGTAGGAGGAGAAGCAGGAGGAAACGGAGCAGGAGGAAGAGGAGAAGGGTGAGGAGGAGGGAAAGGAGGAGGAGGGGAGGAAGGGGGCGGAGGAGGAGGAAGGGGGGAAAGGAGGGGGCGATGGGGGAAGGAGGAAGAGTAGGAGGAGAGGAGGAAGAGCAGGGGGAAAGAGGAGGACGAGGAAGAGGTGTCGTTTTCGGCCGCCTCGGGCCGCCTGGGGGTGAGGAGCGCCCAAAAGCTTTTCGAACCACGACCGCGAAACTCGACGAATAACCGAAGTGCATTCAGCCTTCAAATTCCTCGTCCGTTGTTTGGCCGTTGCCCCGGACGAAACTAGAACCTGAGCGCGCGCGTAGCGCGCGCGTGGTTCTAGTGTATATATATATATATGTGTACATATATATATATATATATATATATATATATATGTATATGTATATATATATATATAACATATCTATATAGAATAGATATATATGTGTATATCGGATGTATAGGTATTCCGCAATACATATATATATTATATATATATATATTAGATTATATAATATATATATATATATATGTTATATTATATGTTTATATATATATATATGTCAGGCAATTTATCCATCGATCGGCCCCACGACCTGTCTTTCGACTCCGTTATTTACCAATCATATTCCATCGGGGCAACGTTCGGGACAATGTTCCGGACAAGTTCGATCGGTCTTTTGTTCGATCGACTCCACGATATCTTAAAACATATATATGTATATATATATATACACATACATACACACATACATACACGAAACAGCGTGGGGGGTAGTGGGGGTTTCCATCCGGTCCACTCCCCCTGTCGAAAACCGGTGGTGGTCAATGGGGGTTCCAACCCCCCTTTTCCCCCCCGGCCCATCATGAAAAAACGATGGGGGGCAATTGCCGGTTCGAACCCCTCCCCCGCCTCCTGGAAAACCAGGGGGAGTCATTCCCGATTCGAACAGACCCCCCTTCCCCCCCTCCCTCCTCACCGCAACGACTCCTCTTCCTCTCCCATTCCCGATGGGGGACTGGTGGGGACAGTGGTTGAGACGGTGGTGGGGATGGTGGTGGGGAGTGGGGACAGTGGGAATAGTGGTAGGGACAATGGTGGGAACACTGGGAGCAGTGGTGGGAACAGTGGTGGCAATGCGACAATGGTGGGGGCACTGGCGGGGACAGTGGGGACAGTGGTGGGGGTTGTGGGGACAGTGGGGCAGTGGCGGGGACAATGAGGACAGTGGGGACAGTGGTGGGGACGGTGGCGGAGGACAGCGATGGGGACAGTGGGAACAGCAGTGGTGGGGACAGTGGGGATTGGGGAGATTGGGGGGGACAGTGGGGATTGGAGAGAGTGGGGTCGTGGTGGGGACAGTGGTGGGGACAGTGGTGGGGACAGTGGTGGGGACAATGCGACAGTGGTGGGGGCACTGGTGGGGAAAGTGGGGACAGTGGTGGGGACAATGGGGACAGTGGGATAGTGGTGGGAACACTGGGACAGCTCAGTGGGACAGCGGCGGGGATAGTGGGGACAGTGGGACAGTGGTGGGGACAGTGGGGACAATGGGAGAGTGGTGGGGGCAGTGGGGTCAGTGGGACCGCGGTAGGGACAGTGGCGGGGACAGTGGGGACAGTGCGACGGTGGTGGGGGCATTGGTGGAGACAATGGGGACAATGGTGGGAACAGTGGGACAGTTGTGGGGACGGTGGTGGTGGGGACGGTGGTGAGGGCGGTTGTGACGACGGTGGTGGGGACCCGGGAGTCTTCTGCCGGCGGCGAGGGGGGGGGGGGGGGGGCGCGTTCGAACAGGTAGTGACCCCCCCGGGTTTTCTGGAGGGGGGGGGGGGATTCGATCCGGTAGTGACCCCCCTCTCGTTTTTCCGGGGGGGATTTTGCCAGGGGAAGTAGGGGAAGGGGGAGGGGGGGGGGGGAACCCCGGGTTCCGGAGGAAGGGGTGGGGGACTTCACAGTAAAGCGGCGGTGGATCACGCTCTCTCATATATATATTTATATGTATGGATCACACTGAGCATTTATCGATAAAACTGTCTGTAGAACGATATCACGATCGATCGGTCTATTTCATCATATCTACCGATATCACGATCAATTTGTCGATCACATTATCTGTTTATCGAAATCACGATTGTTATGGCGGTTTATCCATCCATTCAATTTACCGTCGGAACATCCATCGGTACATCCGTCGGGGCAACCATCGGATCAACCGTGGGACAACTTCGGGTCAACCATGGGACAACCGCGGGACAGTCAGCCCCAACTGGGGGGGCAGAAACATAGTCTATGAACTGACTGGTACCAATTTTCCTGTGAATTGTCTCTGTTCCACTTCGATCTCGCCCTGCAACCTCGGACGTATGTATGCAGCAGGACAGCCACGGGACAAGCACGGCAAAAAAAGTGGGACAACCACGGGACAACCACGGGACAGCCACGGGACAAGCACGGGACAACCACAGGACAGCCGCATGACAACCACGGACAACCGCGGGGCAATTTTTTGACGCCACGGGACAAACGCAGAACATCTGCAGGATAGCCTCGTGCACGCACTGGAAGTCGGATCCCGATGCTTTGCGGCGAGACTCGGGCCTGGCTATAAGTGGGGGAATGCTCGCGCTGCCCCGCTTCGCCCGCACGCGCGGCGCGAACCGAAACCGATTTCCCAATTGGGCCACTCCGTTGCATTTCGGCTTCATTCGGCGGGGAGCGGGGGGTTAGAGAGGTGATAAGGAGAAGGCTGTCTCAGAAGGCGGGGGGAACTTCTCAGCAGCCCTCGCGCCTTCTGAGAGGTGTTCCGTGTCCTCGGGAAAGGCTGCGAAAATTGTTCAGAAGGCCAGAGGACTTCCGAGCTTTCTGAGAAGGCCCGCCCCTTCTCATTTCCCCTTTGGGCTCGCCGCGAATTTACACCCCAACCCCCAACGTTTTAAGATGTCCTGTATGTTTTACTGTTCCGCGCGGACTCCAAGAGCGATGGACGCCAGAAATTGCCGATCTTCTGGAACGTCTGATGAGTCCAATCGCATCATGACATCGTTCCCGTCCTACGCGGGTATAGGGATAGGTCTTCACCGAGCGCGTTCCACTACTCGCAAAGTGCCTACTCGCAAACGTCCGAAAAACATATGTCGGTTTTGATGTAATTTATCGTAGATCCTCCGCGGCGTATCCAGGCCATTTGCGAGTACTTACTTTGCGAGTCGTGGAACGCGCTCGTCTAGGTCTATCGATGTTGATGGAGAATCGCGCCCCATTTGCAGGTACGTGGAGGCCCGTGTCCCGGCCGAGTCGCTGCGCGCTCTGCACGCCTCCGTGGAAGATCTCAGGGCGAAGCAGGCTCGGGGCTCCAAAGGGGCGAAGACCCCCTACTTGTCGTAGTCTTCCGGCTCGTCCTCCTCTCCCTCATCTTTCTTCTTCTTCTTATTCTTCTTCTCCCTTCTTCCTCCCTGCTTCTCCCTCCTCCTCTCTTCTCACCCTCAAGAACATCTTGGCTCAGGATTTTGGGCGTCCTCTTTTTCCTTCCAAGACTGCTCGTGCTGTTACCATTCGTGTGCAGTCTTGAGCGCCTCGCTTGGCGGGGCGACAGCAAGGACGATCGTTCAGAGATGGTGCCTCCTGCTGGCGGCGGCGGCGGCGCTGCTCGGGGTGAGGCCCCCTGGCGCACAGTGCAGCCGCGTGGCGGCCCGACGTGGACAAGCACCGTATGTGGCCGCGGAAAGAACAATGATTCCATGCTCGTTTGGGGGACCTTCCTGGGGCCCACCTCACGGATCTGTTCGACTCAGGTCCGACTCGAGTTCTACTCAGGTTCGACTTAGATTCGACTTAGGTTCGACTCAGGTTCGACTCAGGTTCGGCTCAGGTTCGGCGCAGCTTCGACGCACGAGCGGAGCGAGTGGCTCCAGGAAGTTCCCCAGAATGAGCATCTGACAATGATACGTGGTGGTTCTGCAAGCACTGCAATCAGGGGTGGACAGAACCCCCACCCTGACACGTCGATTGGTGAATTGTCCGTCTTCGGTTCTCGAGAGGGCGCCGCGGGCGTCATTTTCCAGGCTTGCGCCCGCCAGGTTTGGGCCCGAGGTCGTTTTCATTGAACCACGTTTTACTAAAAAGATTTTGTCCATCCCCGGTGCAAATCATCCCGCACCGAGGTATCAGAGCGCAAGTTTGCAACCCCAGCTGGCGGCGGAGGAGGCTGGGGCAGCAACGGTGGCGCCAATCAGCCCCTTCGAGCTGTGCCTCAGGGCGCGCTGGGCAATGGCCAGCCTGACGAGCCCAAGGAGCTCGAGAGCCTGGTCGCCACGCTCCCCCGTGTGGGAGATCGCGAAGGTGTTGAACGATATCGGAAGACCCTCGATGAGAAGCGGAAGCTGGCCGCTCTTCCAGAGACCCCTTTGCAGCTGCAAATTCACAAGGCCTTCCACGCCATGCGAGAGAGGAAAACCAAGGCGGATGATTTGGTCCAGCGTTTCGCTGTCGTGGAGTCGGAGCTGGAGTCGGCCAAGGGACAAGTCCGCCAGCGTCGTGTCGGCATGGAGGCCGCCAGGCAAAAGCATGACGAGTTGGTGCAGAGACTCCACAGGAGTGTTGGGCCTCCCGCCATGCCCACCCTAGAGGTTTCGGACATCCTCAACGACAATTTCGTCATCCCGATCTCGATCGACAGCCTCTTGGCTTCGGAGACGCGCTGAATCACTCAAGGCGGCCTTACGTGACACGGTCAAGCAATTGTTCGGTGAAGTGCACAGCTAAGGCCGACTACTTCAGAGAGCAGCAGAAGAAACAACTCCAGCGACTCCGTCTCAAGCGTGCACGGGTCACGCTCATGGAGTTGAGGTGCCTGTGCCCAACGACGAAGCAGGAGCAGACGGTGATCAGCAGCGTGATGAGGCAGCTGAGCCCGCCGCAGCCACTGCTGCTCCTCCCGCAGCCCCCTGAGCAGCAGCCCCCGCCGACTCCACGTCGGAGGGCGGCAGCCAGGGCATCGCGGCAGATGGGCCTGCCCTCGCAGCCCGCGCGCGTGGTATGTTGGGCGAGAGCCTCCAACCGGAGCCACGGGTTGAGGCTGGGGGGCAACAGAGACAGCTAGTTCAACTAGGGGCAGACCCCCAACAGCCATCACGGCGTCTTCCAGTCCAGGGACGGGCCCAGCAAAGGCCGAGGTTTTGACCCGCGCAGCGAGTTCGCTGCCGCTCGAGTAGATGCGTGATCCAGTTTGGACTTGGTCCAGCCCTCCCCCGCTCCTTCCGATGACCACTTTTGCCTTCAATTCGAAAACTGCAATGCCGCGTCCTGGGGGTCTCTTCAAGGGTTGGCTCCTGCAGACCAATGCTCACGCTTTGGCCACCCAGGAGCATCACCTGGCCCCTTGAAAGGAGCTGCTGCCTGGCGCGCGCGTAACCTTTGGGTGCCCTTTTGGCCCTTGCTGATTCTGGCAAGGGTGAGGGCCGCTCAGGCGGCGCGGCGATTGTCTGTCGCAGTTTCCTCGGGCCCCAGGAGCCCCCAGGTCGATCGTCGGCGCCGGCCCCGGCGAGGGCTGCGGGGGGCGTCGTCCGTCTCCCAGGCGACGGGGCCCGCCCAATATTCTTCGCGCCCGCGCACTTGCATCACTCCGAAGGGTGCTCGGGCAGAAATCTCGACGTCCTCAGATCGGTCGGTTCGGTCGCCAAGCCGTTCGCTTCGGAGTCTTCGATCGGCGGGAGGCTGGGCGCGCGCCCCAGCGGCGCCGCGGCAAGCGGTTTCCCAGAGACAGCGCAGGCCACTGCAGTCGCGCCGAATTGCGACGGCACTTGCCACGCCACTGGTGGTCTAAAGTTGTTGGATTTCTGCATCGTGCCCGGCGGGCTGGCCAAGACGGCCAAGTCCGTGGACGCGCGCGTGAAATTGATCATCGCGCCACGCGCGCCAGCGCAGTTGGAGCTCCACCATCGCGCTATTCCCCCCTGCAGGCCCCGGCGTCCGCTCGCCACCTCGGAGGGGCCCATGTGGCCCGCCAGGGAACCGCCACCCTGGAAACGCGTTCTTGGGTGTAGAAGGGCTTTGCTGGACTGTCTGGCCCCTGGGGCGGCTGCGGATGGGGTCGTGGGCGGGCGCGTCCCGGCCACGCGCGAAGTGGGTCATGCCTGCGGAGGGCAGTGGCGGCCGAGGTGGCGCTCGTCCAACTCCCCGGGCTAGGAGCCCGTTCGCATGTTGCCCGTCTGAAATGGGCCTCGGCGTTTAGGGGCTCGGTCCAGGATGTCGCGCCCCGCCCGCTTCGGGCCCGGGTGGTCGGCTAGCGCGCAGACAGCGGGGGTCGATTAAAGTCGGTTCCGCCGAGGCCCAAAAGAGAGGGAAGCTTTTGGCTGGCCCTCCTGGGGGCCACCCCGAGTTTCTGGCGGGCCGCGAGGCTCTTCTCTCTGGGTGCCCGCGCGGATCTGGAGCTGGCACTTTCGCCCCTGTTTGTCCTGCCAGAGTTTGCTCGAGAAGCCCGCTTCGGGGCGTCCGGCCCAGGGGGGGGACTTCCAAGTTGCGCGGGGTCTTCCTCCGACGCTCGCGCGCAGGATCTCCCGGGCGATTGCTGTCTAGAGGAGGGCCCCGACGCTGACCTTTTCAGTTGGTTTTGGGCGCGGCCGCGGAGCGGGGGCGCGTCCGAACCGGCTGACTGGAGACCCGCCGCCACCTTCTCGCCGGCCGGGCGCGTTCGGTCCGATCCCAGGGCCTTTTGAAGGGCTAAGTGGATGCGTTTTCCAAAATCTGGGGGGTCCGAGCGGAGGCCCATTCGTTTGTGGGGCCCGTGGTCCAGGAGGCACTCCTTTTGCGCGTCGGCTTCATTCAGGACGTTTCAGGAAATGCTCGACTAGGACGGCGCGCGCGGTCGATGGCTTCCACGTGCGTCGCTTCAGCTGGGTGTCGGACGATGCTCAAGTGGTCGTTGCGATGTTCATGTTTTGGACTGAGTCGACATCGTGCCAACTTAAGAATTGCAGATCGTCCTGATCATCCTGCTGATGAAACCTCGCGGCGGTGGGCGACCCATCGGCCTCTTTTGCTCGCCCTACAGAGTGCGGGGCCGCTGCCGTCGTACATGCGCTCCGCAGCGGGAGCGCGGGCACGCTGGGCCCTTCTTCGCTGGGCAGTCGTTCGCGTCGGCGACAGACGTCGCGTTGAGACAGGCCCCCCGCTCGGAATCGGCATTCAAGAAGGGCATGGTCTCGGGAACTTTCCCCGGTGATATGACGAAGTTTTATGAGGGGATCTCGCTGGAACGGCCTGGGCTACACTGCGCCAAGTGGCAATTTCCGGCGCCGCTGTTCAGGTTCGCTCTGCCGACCTACCACAATTCGAGATTCGTTTCTCTTTCGAGTGTCGCGGCGAGATTTTTTTCTCGCCGCTAGAGGGGCGTTGGCAGGCGGCGGCTTAGCTACCTATTTGCGAGGGCCTATTGACTGGAGAATTTCGACAATATAGACTCCCCCCTCAGGCCCAGCTGGGCCCTTCATTGACGATAGTGGTGCACTTAGTGCGGGTGCTACTGATGAAGTGGTTGACTATATCAAGTGCGCATCTAGCCAGCTGCATCAGGCTATCGCCACCGAGATGGAGCGTAGCATTTCGCGCGAGAAGGCGGCTTTTGCCACGTCCCGCAGGGAGGCGCCAGACCGCCCACGCAAATTTCTAGGGCCACTGGCGGGGGAGACGCGGACAGCGATGTCAACCTGGGCATCGACGACTGACGACGCGGCTGGCCACCCCCGCCGCATGGGACGTCGCAGTTAGAAATTCAAGCTGCGGGTGGAGCACTTGTAGGTGACGACCAGGAAGCTGGTCCGCATGTCTTGCACCCTGGGCAGACCTAGCAAGCGCGCGCGTGGGTTTCTGGAGCTCGTCCATGGGTCTTGCGCGGGGCCGGTGTCCACGGGATCTCGGACTTTGAGTCGGGCAAGATCAGGCGTGAGGCGGGGAAGGTCATGAGGCCAGGGGCGTCGGGTCGCTCGCTTGCCTCCGCCCGCCTCCTGAACTTCGACCCCGCGTTGATTGGACCAGCGGCCCCAGTCCTTAGGCGCGCTGAAGAGGCGTGGGCTGCCCAGACCCGCGCTTGCGACCATGGCCTCTCGCTGCCGGCGTTGCGCGAGGTTTGGCAGGCTGCGCGCAGTGCTCCGCTGCCGCCCTGGCGCCAAGTGAGCGGCCCTATTGCAGCTATGAGATTGTCTATGGGGGGCATCAAGTGGGGCACGATTCGTTTCGCGACGTCGACGGCGGACTTCGGCGACGAAATCATGCTCGCCTCGGCCCCCCAGCCCCGCTCAAAAAGCTTTTGCGATATGCATTTCTCAGACAGCTTGAGAGATGATTCTGCTGGGCGCAGCCTCGGCCGCGATCGGCTCTGCGTCGATGTGGTTCGTGCCCAGCTCGGCTCGCCTCCAAGAGATGGTCGGCCAAAGCTAAAGGATCGATCCGTAGCCTGGTGCGCGACGCTCTCTGGGCCCATGGTAGAGCGATCCAGCTCGGCTATCAATTGGCCGACGATCGATGCGCGATGCGCGGGCAGTTAGGTGACTCGCCGCCCCATCGCCTCCGGCAGTGCCCGCGCTTCCCCCCTGGCGCGGGCCGAGATGATCGACCGAGATATCCATGAAGCAGCTGGCGGTGCCGGTCCGACGGGCCCCCTGACGGGCGCGTTGTCTTGCCGCGGGCTATTCCCGCGCCTGGGCGATGAGCCCCCCGCGCCTGCGTCAGGGGGCCCCTAGGTCCAGGCCGGGCAGGCGCGGCGCGAATCGCGCCCGAACGATGGCTCGTTCTGCGGGAACGTGTTAATAGATGGTAGTTGCCGTAGGCATGCCATCCCTGAGCTGTCTAGAGCTGCGCAGGGAATGGCCCTGATCGACGGTGAAGGCATGGAGCGTTGCACGGTGTACGCTCCTGTTTTTCCCCCCTTTCTCCACGCCCCTCAGCGCGGAGAATTTGCTGCCCTTGTCAGGGCGGGGATCGAGATCGCGGGGCACTCTGCGATCTTTCAGGGGATTCCTACATGCTGCCTTTCCTGCAAGGGGCCCTGCGCTGGGCTCCTGATGATATATCGTCTCGGTTCGGATTCGGTCGAGTCGGTCGTCAAAGCGAGGGCCCGTCAAGACTCCGCGGAGCAGGGCATTTCATCCCAACGAACGGCGGGGGCGACCTGGGAACGCGGCTGCCGAGTCTGCCGCGAACGCTGGCGCAGTTGCACCCTGTCAGATCACAATCGGATCTGGAAAGGCTGAATTAGAGGATGCAGATTTCCAAGCTTGCCGGGAATAGTGTGCCGCAACGGCCCCGCTTGGACCTCTCGGAGACCTCGTGGGCTGTCCCAGAGAAGGCGCGGGTGGCCAAGGTCGGTAAGCCGCAGGAATGGATGCCTCTCTCTCTACCTCCTGGAGCCCTCATGGGGCAGCGCCCATCCATGCTGAAGTCACTCGTTACTGGAAGTGCCTCAACTGCTTGTGTGTTAAGACAGGCAGTTCTGACTTGCACCCTCCCATCCCTGGTGAATATACAGACGCATCAAATCTGGAAGGACCGACGCTGAGAAAATTCGGGCATAGTCCTGTTTCTCTTAACGTTTCAGATGGCACTTCGTCGGCTGTATGTTTGAAGTGCCATGCGTACGCACACCCTGGCCATGGACGCGGATTGGCCGCGCCGTGCAAGGAACCAACCAGGAATCATGATTATTTGTTTTCCTTGATTCTATAGGCTTACGCCACATCCGCCGACCCCTTTTTTTCCTGTCGCATCGCACGTCCGAGCAAACCGTATCCAGTGGAAGACCTCGACGGGTCGTGCGCGGTCCGCGAGTTTGTCTCTTGGGCTCTTTTGGTGCGGTCTTGGCGGCCCCGTGGGCCGTTTTCAACGCCGTGAAGGCCGAAGAGTCTTGTATGCCAAAAATGTACGCTATCTTATAGGAATGGGACGATTTTGGCCCTCTGGGCCTTTCTTCGCAAGGTTGTTGGAGGCCTCTTGGGGCGTCTTGGCGCTTCCTTGGGCCGTGTTGGGCCCATCTTGGGCGTCTTGGATCGATCATTCGGCGATTCGTGCTCTCTTGGACTGTCTTGGGGGTGTCTTGAGAGGCTCGACGGGCGGTCTTGGAGCTCCAAAATGAGCCTGGGGAGGCCAGCCCCCTCCCCTGATGAGTGCGGGGGTGGGCTGGGGGGAGGCCGTCCCGGGCGGGGTGGGGGGGTCAAATTCCCGGTTTGGGGTCCGGGGGGGGGGGGCCTATGGGGAGGGAACAATCTCACACGCCTAGAGATCCACAAGGGGTCGGCGGATCAACACATAACATGCCGTAGCAACACATGACAGGTCATAGAGCACAACATAACAGAAAAGATCACATCACAGAACATCCAGAACGGAACATCAACATAACATAACAGCGAACCTTCGACAAGTACGACATAACACAACATCACTCAACAGAGCATGGCAGAAGAGAACACGAGAATGACAGAACGTGACATAACCGAACAGGACAGAGCATCACATAACATTCCACAACATAACATGACAAAGCATAGAGCACAACGTAACCGAACATATCACATCAAATCACATCAAGAGCATGACATCATCATAACAGGACAGCGAACCTTCGACGAAAAAAGGCATAACACGACATCACCCAGCACAGCATGACAGAACAGAACACGAGAATGACAGAACATGACAGAATCGAACAGAACATAGCATCACATAACAGTCCACAGTAGACTGGACAGAGCATAGAGCACAGTATAACATAGTATAGCAGATCACATAACATCGAGAACATATCATCGAAGTAACAGAACAGCGCACCTTCGACGAATACGACATTGCACAACATCACTCAACAGAGCATGACAGAACAGAGCACGCGAATAACATAACATGACAGACACAAGCACAATTTACCATCACATAACATTCCACTGCAGAACATGACAGAGCATAGAGAACACCATAACAGAACATATCACATCACAGAACATCCAGATCAGAACATCCAAACAACAGAACAGCGCACCTTCGACGAATACGACATAACACAGCATTTCTCAACATAGCATGACAGACCAGAACACGAAAAATCTGGTCGAAGGACATATTTGTCGTCGTCGCCCGAATCGTTGATGGTGACAGGGTTTTGGTAAACCCATCTTCGGCTCTGGGGAAGATTTGTTCGAAGTGATCCCACACACCTCGCTTGTCCACGTACGGCCAGACGGACGGTGTTGTCAAACTATCGCCGCTTCCTTCTTCAGTCCCTGGGCACCAGCCCGTCTGGAGGCCTCGTGTATGTGTGTCCGAGGCTATATGGATCCATCTTCAGCTATCTTGGGTAATATTGGAGGCCATCTTGGGCTGTCCCAGGCCCTCTTGGAGCCATCCTCGGCCGAAAAGGACCCTCTGACACATCATGGGGGATCTCGTCCAAGCGCAGGCAGGGGGGGGTAAACCTCCCCACCAGGACAAAGGAAGGAGGTTAGAAAAGGAAGCGCCCTAGACCCTCTGCGCCCAGAGGGCTGGTGGAATTGCCTCGCCGCTCCTCCCCTGCCTTTTTCTTCCGTACCGTTTTGGCTCAGGATTTCAACCGTGGTCTTTTTGACTTACGACTGCTGAAACGGACCTACAAGCAATTGTTGACGCTTCGCGTATCCCCACCGGCCCATCCAGAAACGATGCCCAGGGGAGTTGAGGTGATCAGGGAAGTCGGGGAGCATGCAAAATAACAAAGGGCGGGGGAAGCTGTCACATACTCCAAGAGGGGGGGTGAGGATGGAGGAGGAATCGTCGTCGTCGTCGTCGGAGGAGGAGGAGGAAGAGGAGGAGGAGGAGGAGGAGAAGGAGGAGGAGAATATGGAGTAGGGCGAGGACGAGGAGGACGAGAAGGAGGAGAAGGAGCAGAGGGAGGAGAAGGAGGAGAAGAAGAAAGAGGAGGAGGAGAGGGGGAGGGGGTCGAGGGAGGAAGAGGAAGAGGTGGATGAAGAAGAGGAAGAGGACGGCGAACAGAAGAGCCAGACGCGCTTTGCATGCCTTTCGGAAATCCTCCTGAGACTTCTTGGGGGTCTTTTGGGAGCCTCTTGGAGGCCCTTTGGGCGCCTCTTGGAGACGTCTGGGCGCCTCTTGGGGCGCTGTTGGGGCTGTAGGGGCATTCTTGGGGCCATTTTGGAGGACATCGATCAAAGAACAGGGGGTTTAATTAGCGTCGCCCTTCGGGGCCTCCAAAAATCGCCTCCTGGGGCCCTCTTGGGGCGATATTGGAGCGCTATTGGGCGTTCTTGGGGCCGTCGTGGGGCTTTCTTGAGGCTCTCTTGGGGCCCTCTTGGGCAATCTTGGAACCATCTTGAGGTTTCGCAAGGCCATCGGAAGCGAAAAGGTAAGCAAGCAAACAACTTTGATTTTATTTAGGTTTTGGAAGGATTTGGGCCTCTTCGGGGCTTCCTTGGGGAGCTCTTTGGCCACTCGGAGCCGTCTTGGGAAGGTCTTGGGGCTTCTTGGAGCATTTTGGAACCATCTTGAGCGATCTTGCGCTATCTTGGGCCATCTTGGAGGTTATCTTGGGTTCCCAGAAGCGCTCTTGGAGCCGTCTTGGGCCATCTTGGACGCTCCAACGACCCGGCGCCCCCCCCCCTCCAGGTCCAGGGGAGGGGTAGGGCGAGGGGTCAAGACACCTACAAGGAGCAAGCGGTGTAGCTCACTCCCACCCGCCCTCCCAAAACATAAGTAACACTGGATGAAACGACCACAAATTAAAACCCCCGCAGAGGCTCTGACAAATACCAATGCACAGGTCCCGACGGGAAAATCACAATCCCGCCTGCTACGGCTCGAGTAGAGGCGGGTGCGCATGCTCCGAATGTGGAGGCAGAGTGTATTTTGTATTGTTTTTTGGACAGGGATGGTAGGGGGGGGCCCTGGCGCATACTCCGAATGTGGACTCGGAGTGTGTTTTGTATTGTTTTTTGATAGGGATGGTGGGGAGGTGCCCACATTGTCCCCGACCGACTGTGGAGGCAGAGTGTATTTTGTATTGTTTTTTGACAGCGATGGGGGGGGGGGCCTGGCGCATGCTCCGAATGTGGACTCAGAGTGTGTTTTGTATTGTTCTTTGTCAGGGATGGTGGGGGGGGGCCCACATTGGCTCGGGTTGGCCCCTGGCCGGGTGGGGGAGGGGGTGTATATTAATAAGGAGCAGTGATAAACCCCTCCCCGAAGGGGAAGAGGCAGCCGTTGAAGAGGAAACGCTCTAGACCACCTACGCCTAGATAGAGGGTTGGTGGGATTTCTTGCTGGATTTTGTTGCACAGCCATGCTCAGGAGCGATGGCACCGCCGTGGCATGTGGCGATCATGATTACCGTGAGTGCGTCCTTCCTGCGCCGGTTGCGGCCTTGACGTACACACGGGCTGCAACCGGAGAGTGCCGCACTGTATCGCCCAGGCGCGCTGGCACCGGTTCGGCATCTGCGTCGTCCGCTTCCAGAGCGGGTTTGGGGACGGATGCGGGCGTGGAGCGTTTTTTGAATTCAGAGTGTTTCTGGCAGTTTCTGGGCAGGTCCCCGTCCCAAAGAGCGCGCGCTCTGCAGCTCAAGCGTGGGTCCCTGGAGTGTGATTATTGTTGTCAGTTGACCCTCACGGAGAGGCCGAAAAAGAAAAAGCCACGCAGGCCAAGAGGGTTGCATCGAGTACAGGAAGGTCACGGCGAGAGACCTGGCTTCCATTGGGAAGACGCCTGGTGGGCAGGGAGATGCCGCGCGAGATTCCAGTGGTGGCGAAGCGGACGTCAGCATGATAGAGCTCATCGGCGCGGGCATGGATGTACCGCACATCGACGAGGCCATCGCGCGGTTAACGGCCCTCCGGAATAGCAAGCTCGAATCCAATAGCCTTCGGCTCATCCAACGAGGTGCCTGGGTCGTCGACAGGGGGGGGGTCGGGTTGCTGTTTGCGGGCCTGGTTTGAGGTTTGTATACCCCGTTTGGTCGTTGTCGATGCATTTTGCAGGTGTGCAGGAGGGCTATGGAGAACTCGACAAGACACCAGACAGGCCACGGGCTGCGCCTTGGCGCGGTGGTGGATTCCAGCCACCAAATTCTAAGGAAGCGACTCCAGAATTGGGCGGGCGTGGCTTCTGTCAGGCCATGGACACGCCGTTGGCGGCGGAGGCGGACGTGGCGTCGATGCGTGAGAACTTCGTGCCGAGGTCGCGCATGGCCCACCCGATCGGTGTACTATCAGTCCGCATCGGGCAGGAAGCGTGGTGGACTGTTGACACCTTCCGCGAGCGCGCGGCGTCCATGGTACAGTGGTTTAACAGGCGGGAGCGGCTTGCAACGCCAGGGCTCGATTGCAAGCAGCGAGCAGTGCCCTCCAAGGATTTGGGGCTGATTGCACGGGTCAACCGACGCAGCCGGGGCGACGCGCCCTCGCCCCAGTTTGCCTACGAGCATTACCGGGAACACATCGACCCAGGAGGCAACCTGCTTGAACAGCTTCTGAACCGCATGGTGAACGTGTTTGTGGTGAGGAACTCTTTGTCTCACAGTGTCCGCGAAGACCTCGAGGGGCATGCGTTTGTGTGGATTCGGGCCTCGCTGCTCGGCGGGTCATTGGCGAATGTGGAGGACCTGTGCGTATAGTACGCGAGGGCCAAAGGAGATTTCTTTGGTACGTTTGTGAATCCAATGCGCACGAGGAAGGATTTGAAACTCGAGGGCTTTCACGCGTTCATTTTTGAGTTGGAGCATGTCGCCCCAAGGGTTTTAACGCTCCTGTCATCCTTCGTTGACATCTGGGATCTGGGCGTGTTTTTCGACGGGCTGCAGGACGTCAAAGGACTGGGCGGGGCGGGGTTTCGAGCGAAAGAGCTTCTATGCGACTTTGTCGCCGCGCTCCCTTCTCTTGAGGCGCGGATAGGGCGCGGGGAGCTGCAGCGCAGCCAGCGGGCTTTCTTCCCTATAAAGGCCATTGGCGTGGGCCCTTGTAGGACGGCGAATTTCTTGTTCAACGGGCCCTTCTTCCTTAACGAAAGAAGACGGCTGTCGGCGTACTCCCTGCGCAGACGGAGCTTGTCCATGTACGCATAAGCAACGCAGCAGAAAAGCATGGCGTCTCCCATTTGTTTTCTGTGCGCCTGCACGTTTCCATGGGTGGAAAGCCGACGAGGGTGCCAGATTTCCTGGGGGGGGGGGGGCGTTTAAGGCATCTTCAACGGACCCGAGCGTGGTGAGTCATTGGCGGGTGGTCCATGTCGGATGTGCAAATGCGTTTCAGCGTCGATGCGTACCTGCGGGACTACCGCGTGGAACCAGGGAACGAAGCTTTGGACCTTGCGAGAGATGCGTGGTATCGGGAAGACTTCACCGATGTGCTCGCGGCAGCGCCGACGCCCCGCGGCGAAGTGCAAATCTTGTGCTGTCAGGAAGATCAGCGGCGTCAGGGGGGTTGCGACACGGGGGCGGCGTGTCTGGAGTGCAAGGTGCCTCTGTGCACGGAATGCAAGGTAGAGGTGGACATGCCGCATCGGTGGCGCGCCACTGCGATCCCCGACGTGCCGCGCCGAAGTCTTGCGAATGACTTGATGACGTTCTATGCGCCAGATCGTATGTACACAGAAGGAATGACACTAATGGAGATGATTTGCTGCAGCCCTTGCATTACATCGATGATTTGCTTCTCGTTGGAGGTGAAGTTTCAGAACGACCAGGAGAGCAGCAAGGGTCGGGAGAACCTCTTTGACAGCGCCGCAGGGTTCCATGACGGACGTCTGGCAGCGCGAGGGAATGCCACGAGCTCCATGCTACCGTGGCAGGGCATATTGCGAGAGCTCCGTCAACTCGAGAAGGAAGGGCGCCAGGGAAGCCACTCGGCGGTGCCTATCGTGGGAGAGAGGTTGGGGTCGGTGGTTCAGATTTTGTTGAAAATCAACGACGCCACTACCAAAGACAATTTGCCGCGTTTCATAGAGCGAATGTTCGGCGCGATGTGGTGAAGCGCCACATCAAGATGATGAAGCAGCGCGGGCACCGGGCCTTCGCGAACGTCAACTTGGAGGCCATGGAGAGAAAGGCCGATCAGCTGCCGAAGAACGGCGTGCCACCAGAGATATTGTCCGGCTGCTTCCGCATGACACAACGTTGGACAAGCTCATGGTCCAGAAGAATGCGACGCCTTGTGATGGGGCGCGAGATTATGTTGGAGCGGCTGCGCGCGACATGGACTTGCGCACGCCGAATGCCGCAATGATGGGGAAGTCGTCGGTGGGCGAGGTGGGCGCGAACAAGTTGAGGCAGGGTGCATTTGAACATGTGTCCGGCGCATCGTCTGTGGGGCACCGGAGCCCAGGACCAGGCGCGACGACGGTCGTCCAGGGACGCGCACTGGACTTGGGCGCGAAATGCTTCGCACTGCGTTTGGCAAGTACATGGGCAGGCAGGTGCGACAGACCCGAGTGTCCGTGCGGTGGGGAGAGAGACGAGCGCGCTCTGGCGAGGACGTGCAGAATGGGAGATCGCGCGGTCAACGTTGATATGACGACACTGCAGTTTCGGCTCTGGGAGATGTTGGAAACGGACGCCACCCGCATTTGGTACGTGGTGTATCCGGGGCGCGCAATGATGAATCAGTTGGTTCCATGGTTTTTCGGCGTGGCATTCCCGTTCTGTTTCAAGTACGGAGTGGGGATGCCGGACATGCCAGAATGGCAAGAGAATGCGCGACACCGACGTGGGCCGGCGGCGCCCCGCGTGGAACTGGCTCTGTGGGCGCGCATCATGACGCGTCGGGTGGAGTCCCAATTCCGGCGTGAGTGGCGGTTCGGCTTCACGCTGTCGTCGGTTTTGTTTCAAAGTTCCGTGAATATGGCTCGGTCCGTTCGCTTGGCGGACTATAGGAAGGACGGAGACGGAATGCCGGTATTCGCAAGGAGAACTGGAGAAGGCAGCCGTGAGCATCGTCGATGCTTTGTATGGTACATACAAGGGCCCGCCCACTCGGAAGTCCACGAAAGTGCGTGGGGATTTCTCCTAGCTGAAGTATGTGCAGTCGCTCGACCCGATAGCGAGACGCCTTGCTGCAGGGGCTAGCGCGGTCGCTCGGAAGATTGAAGAGACAAACGAGGTGCGGACACTCATGAGATACGACACACATGCGGCTCGAATCGCCCATGGGGTGCCGCTATTTTTCACCGCGTCTCCGGAGGAGCGGCACAACCTGGTAATGGTGCGGTGGTCGCGCTCGCGAATGAGGGATCCAGTGAATCGTTGTGCTGCGCGGGCACTGCGCGGACCCACGTACGGGGGGTCATGGGAACCGTCGCTGGCGCACGCGCCAGAAATATCAGGAGATGACGTGACAGGACACTGGCGCGAGCAGGCGGGCCAAAATGGGCCGGGCACCGAGGGGGCGCAGGATGACGACGACGTGAACATCGCAGTGCCTCTGGCGATGTTGGCGGATGCCGTGCCCGCGTCGCACGACAGTGCTCGCCCGGGGCCCGCTGGCGGGCGTTGATGGGTTTCGAGTCGTCGTGGGCCTTGTATTTGAGTGCATGCTGGGGATGCGATATTGCTCGAAATGCCCAGATTGCCAGTGCGCGGACTTGCTTGGCAGCAACGTTACGGCGGCGGGCGGGTGCTTGGGCCGAGTGGACGGGGTGCGCGGCAGCATTGAAGCTCAGAAGTCGGCTGGAAGTCTTCATCTGCACGTGCAGGTATTCGTGCAATGCGTGCGCCAGCGCACCCCGTTGCGCGAACTGGTTCGGCTGCCGCCTGACGCGCTGAAGAGGCTGGTGGACGAGTACAAGAGGTACAAGAGAAACGCGAGTCGTCAGGAGTACGCAGACGTTGAAGGGTGGATGGGGAAGGAAACAGGAGGTGGAAAAGGCGTGGCCCACGCACCGCGAGACGACGGATCTGGTCGCAGCGCCGAAGTACCTACAGAGCGGAGGGACTAATGAGTTGGGAGATACGGAAGGAGGCAGTACGGAAACCACGAACGGCCAATCCCCGTGCGCGTCTGGTTGTGGTGCAATGGACAATGTGGAGAAGGAAGGTGAGGATGTGCGATCGCGGCTGCAGGAGTACCTGGGCGCGTGGGTTCAAAAGGGCCAGGAGTTTCGACAGAACCACGTACACCAATGGAGGAAGCGTTTGCAGCGCGCGGTACCGCTGGCTCATTGTCAGAGGGAGAGGATGTACTACAGTGCAACAGCTTCTTTCCGCGGACGGCGTGGCTAATAGATCGTGCGGTAGTGTTGCGCCAAGGCTTTTTGAGAAACCGTGACATGCCGCGAGCAGGGAGGAGGAATATGACAGGCTGCTTGCACGGACCCATGAACGAAGAAAACCTGAACGGAACGTTGCCAGCGATGCTGAGCGGCGCGGTGGGGTTGAATTTTGACAGCGATTTCAAATCCCGCACAGGTTCACAGTGACGGAAGCGACGCACGATAGTGGTGTGTGCGAAGAGCGGTGCTAGGAGACGGATCGGCCGATAGACATGGTTCTGGCAGCGCAGCGAGCGAAGAACGCAGCAGCGGGGTATGCGGCGGACTATCAGTGCAAGCGGTGTGCCCCGTCGTTCAACGAGGCGAGGGAAAGCAAAAAGGGACCACGCGCTGGCGGAGCAGACGAAGGACAGGACCGCGGCGCACCGATCGAACAGGCACATGAAGAGGCTTCTCAGTGACATGTACGGGAGAGGCGTGGTGCGGTCAGCGCAGGAGAGTGCGAACCTGCGAGCGTACAGAGACCCCAGAGACGTGACTGGTGCCGAGAGTATCAAGACTGCGAAGACAGCCATGATCCCAGGAGCAGAAGCCGTGCGCATGGCGGAACAGATCTGTGCTGACGGCGGCGATGTTGCCGTAGCGGCGTCGGGGTTGCTGGAAGCGGACAAACGAGAAGGGTCGAAAAAAGGTTCGAATTGTGTCTAAGAGTCCAGTGTGCTTGTATGGCATGCGCCCAGTAGACGCTCCTGGGGCGCCCGACTTGGCACACTTATCGTTGTATGAGTTCATTCGATATTGGCGCGTCGAGTTGGCTGCCATTTCGCGTAGCGGAGCAGACATAGCATCTGCGGCCAGCGACGATTACCAGGCGGAACTGACGCATTCCGGACTCCAGAAGGTTCGCGAGGCTGACCAGGAGAGAGCGAATTCCGACACAGGCGGGGCCTTGGGAGCTCAGCTGAAAGCCGGAGTGGATTACGTCATTAAGGAAGAATGGGGCAGTTATTCTTGGGTGCCGTTTCCGGATATTTTCCAGAGCTGGAAACCTTGAGACACACGTGGGTGTTGGTGCGGAACGAGCGCCCGGGGAACCCAAGTTTTCATGGAGCGCCGCAGCCGAAACACGGAGCGGGGGAGGAGGACAGAAAGGGGCTCTTGTTGATGGTATATTTCAGGGCGTTCACACTCTTTGACGGTGTCGATTGTGGAGTACCGCGCCTGCGCGATTTCCGCGGAGCGCAGGGGTCGTGGGCGGAGGCTGCGTTAGAGTGGTTAAAGAAAGGCATGCCATGCGAAGAAACTAAGAGGTACGTGCAGAACTACATGCGCGGTGGGCTTGCGACCGATCACGGAGGAAGATCTCGCGAAACACGAGGACGAGCTGCACAGCGACGAAGAGCTGGATCCGAG